GAAGGGGTTTTCTTGGCCCGGGGGGGGGGGTGGGGCGTGGAGTTTAGAGGATGACATTGACGAGGCTCACTTTCTGGAGAGTATCGTGCTGAGCGAAATAAGCCAGTCAGAAAGTTAAGTGTCACATGATCTCACTCATATGTGGAATCTAATGAACCAAATAAACTGATGATCAAAAATAGACCCAGAGTCATAGAAGCATGAACAGACTGTTGAACCTCAGAGGGAAGGCAGGGGGGTGGAGGGGGCGGTGGGAAGAGATCAACCAATGAACTTGTGTGCACGTATGCATCACCCATGGGCACGTGCAATGGGGTTGTGAGGGCCTGGTGGGGGATAGGAGCAGCCGGAAGAGGTTAATGGGGGGGAAAGGAGGACCTATGTCATACTTTCCACAATAAAGGTTTTTTTAAGGGTATTAATAAAACAAAAAGCTTTCAAATGTACAAGACTCTTTAGAGTAGTGGTTCTCAACCTTCCTAATGCCGAGACCCTTTAATACAGTTCCTCATGCTGTGGTGACCCCCAACCATAAAATTATTTTCGTTGCTACTTCATCACTGTAATGTTGCTACTGTTACGAATCCTCATGTAAGTATCTGACATGCAGGATGTATTTTCATTGTGACAAATTGAACATAATTAAAGCACAGTGATTAACCACAAAAAACAATATGTAATTATATATGTGTTTTCCGATGGTCTTAGGTGACCCCTGTGAAAGGGTCGTTCGACCCCCAAAGGACTCGCGACCCACAGGTTGAGAACCGCTGCTTTGGAGTATTCTGTAATGGAAGGGAAGTCATTGTGAGCATATTTCTTACCACACAGGCTTACTGAGTGTGGGATTTTTTGGTAAAATATTTAAAAGGGGTCTAACTTAGAGCTGAGGCATCCGCTGCCGTCGGTGCGTGTGGCAAACTCAGTGTCCGTGGCACGTGGCTGTCCGTGGTGAGCTGGCTGCTGAGGGCTTTGAAGTCGTGCGTAAACATGAACTGTAAAGGGAAAGATGACGTTTGAACTTTGAGTAAGAAAGCTACTAATCCTCAAAAGTGCATCATGCCGTGGAGAAGCAGTTTGAAAGCAGGTGTTTGGAAATATTCCACTGCTGTGCGGTATTGTTGTTGAAAATGACCCGTTACCTATAAAAAGCCGTATGGAAACTTTTAACCATCTGCTCAAAAACCTTCCAGAGGAGGTATTTCTGAGAGTTCTGAACCTATTGTTAAATATGTTGATGTCAATGTCCTCTAGCTTGTGAGAGAATTCTGTTAAATTAGGGAAAAGAAACTTACTAGGGCAATTTCAAGACAAACGGTCAAGGTCGCTCTGAAAGGGAGA